TACTCTCTTTTTCAACGCGATGAAAACTTCAATTCATCTTTTTCGATGCACTTTTTCGTTTAGAAAAACGATTTAAATGAAGGAATTATGTATATTTTCACGACTAATTCATATTCATTCATTCCTTCATACTTTTCACTCAAACGTAAGATATGCATAAATTTCGATTTTTTGCATTATAATAAGAAATTACTGTATTTGTAATTTATTTACATTCCGGTATGATATTTAGTATTAGGCTAATCATGATCTAAAGATTATAATGTAAGCACCACTTGAAAACAAAAAAGTCAGGATAGTGTGGTATCCCAAAAATAATTTATTCTGTATTCCTAAGCGATTCTTAAGGTTTCCGGCGTCCGTCTCGCTCGACGGCTATTTCCAGAGTGTCCTTTCCGCGTCATATCCCGCGTTGCTCCTAAAAACCGTTGGAGCCCCCTCGTTCGACTTTCCGGGGAAAGGGCTTAGTTTATGGCACCCTCAGGTACCCGCGCGCTTCCTCTTCCTGGGTTACAAAGTCCAGGCCACCACTTCGCCGCCGGAATCTTGCATTTCTTACAATAACTTTTTGTACATTTTTAGGTAATTAAGTTATTATACTTGTTGTCAACTAATCATTCAGTGCACAAAATTCACATCGTAGATATATAAATATACAGGGTGTTCCGTTTAACATGGATTCGTTAATATCTTCATTACCTTTACCGATACGCAAAATTGTGTGAGAACAAAGTTGTTGGGTTTAGAATGAGGAATGTTGTGATCTGTGAATTTTTTGTCAAGGTCATTTCCATTCCCGATTTTCAAGGTCATCGTCATTCTTTTGCAGATTCACGTGTGTTTTTTGTAATGCAGTATTGTAGTGGACATCAAGACGAATTCAAGGGTATACAACACCATGAGCTTGAAATGACCTTGAATGAAAAAAATCACAATAATTCAAAAAAGAATTGGAAAGTGAACATTCAGTGTTTTTTGGGCAAAATCTTTATTCTAACAAATGTTCAAAATGATTTCCATTTACTTCAAGGCATCTTCTATGAGAATCTACCAGGAGAATTCTTCAAGGAAAACCAGCAGCAGGATTTCTTCATAGATCAGCATAATGATCACATGCGCAAAGTAAAATCTCGACCTACAACACACTATGGGAAAAAGAAGCTGTTCATCTTCAAGAACTTGTTAACCTCCACGCACGTCTTCGTACGAGTCGAAGCCAACAAAAAATCACTCGACCCACCTTATGAAGAGCCATACGAAGTAAGAACAAGGGCCCCAAAATACTTCACCATCAAAATAAAAGAAAAGGAACATAACATAGCCATCGACAGGCTAAAACCGGTGTACGTCGAGCAAACGACGGAAGAACATATCAACGAGTCCAATCGTCATCTCACTCTAACGTAGTGAGCGACTTGTAGGGGGGTGATGTGGCGGCGTCTACCGCGACTCACCAAAGTGGAAAGCGTGTTCGTTTCCGGGATACCGACGAATGCCGGAAGTGGTAGGTGTGCGCGGGACGGAACTCCAGCGCCACCTTTTCTTAGCGTCTGTTTCAGGAGGAGTAGCGGCCGTAGGACAGTTAGGAAAGGCGAGTCAAGGGCAGTCAGCGAAAGCGGTCGAAGAGTGAGGAACAGATTGTTAAGCAAGAAATAGAAGATTTTGTATTGTATATATCGTGTTGTTAATAGTTTCAAAGAGTTTATTTGTTAAAATATATTTTATTCGTTATACATACCCGTG